TCCCTGGTACCATGGTCGCACCATGTTAATTAAATCATTCTCATTAATTCAGCCCGAGTGTAAATTAGGAAAGAATGAAGATAAATTAGGTTTGAAGGCAGCTAATACATTTAACCCCATGCTGCTTATTTTGCAGCCTAACAAAATAACGTTGTTAGGGGAGATAACAAGGCCAAAGCCTTGGGCACAGCTTCTTAATAGCATTAAAAATGAGACATTGGTTTGGTGTCACAAGGCAGAGCCGAAGACCAGCTCCCAGGGGCGTACAGGACTGGCCTAACATCTTGCGTGAGGTGGTGGCCATTGAATAGCACGGATGTCTGTAGCATTTCCTGAGTTGTTTGTGACTCAGCTATCTGCTATGACTACCGCCATCCAGTTTGACCACAGGCCTGTCTAGAGAGGTCTTCTCTCGCAGATATAAGACGTGCTCATTTTTTCTTCCTTGTGGCTGAAGTGACAAAAATTACCTTTTAGGATTGGCTGAGAAATGCTGGAGAAATCACACAGGTTTTGTTGCTGTGGTCATAAATATGCTAAATTGCAAATCACTTTCAGCTGGGAAATAAACATTAGCCCCCGCATCCTGGCTGAAAACTTTTCACACGTTGGTTCAAGCCAACCAGTGTGCCCTTTGTCGGAGGTCATTGGCAGCAAACACGTTTTCCCCCAAATGCAAGTTTAGTTCCTGTGTGTTTCAGCGGGAAAATGTTTTCCCATTTTAAAACCTACTTACACTAATTTCTTTTCCCTGCCTCATGTTGCTTATCTCCCCGAGGCAGATGAAGCAAATGTATATGGTCACTGAGTACATTTCAAGATGTTCCAGGTTACAACTTTTTTCCTTCTCTTTCCTTGAAGCACAGAGAGGTAGCAACATTAGGTAGAAGTAGACACAGGAAACTGGCATCCGTGGATGATGACACAAGGCATAGCTATTTTCAAAGAGAAGCAAACTTTGTGGTCTCCTTGGTTAAAGACACTTTGTGCCCAGGTGGTGCAGATGCAACAGAGATTGGCCTGTTCCTAGCTCAGTGGCCTCCTCTGACAAAATCCCCACTCCACCACCTGCGCTGTGTGCTGTGTGTGTGTGTGTGTGTGTGTGTGTGTGTGTTTTAAATATATTTTTATTTATTTCAGAGATGAGGAAGGGAGAGGGAAAGAGAGATAGAAACTTCAATGATGAGAGAGAATCATTGACTGGCTGCCTCCTGTACATCCCAAACTGGTAATAGAACCCACAACCCTGGTATGTGCCCTGACCAGGAATCAACCTGTGACCTCCTGGTTCACAGGTCAACACCCAACCACTGAGCCACACTGGCTGGGCTGTTTTGTTTTTTTTTTAAATATATCTTTATTGATTCAGAGAGGAAGGGAGAGGGAAAAAAGAGGGAAAGGGAGAGGGAGAGGGAGAGGGAGAGGGAGAGGGAGAGGGAGAGGGAGAGGGAGAGGGAGAGGGAGAGGGAGAGAGAGACATCAAGATGAAAGAGAATCATTGATAGGCTGCCTCCTGCATGCCCCCTACTGAGGAGGGGGCAGAACCCGGCCATGTGCCCTGCTGGGGAATGAAACCCTGACCTCCTCATTCATAGGTCCACACTCAATCACTGACCCACACCAGCCAGGCCTGAGCTGCGTTTATTTCTAGGCAGGGTCACCTTAGGACGGTGAATGAAGTTCTAGGTAGATATGGTACCAGACTGCAGTAGAAGGAAATATTTCTTACAGAGAGAAAATGTTAATCTCTTAATTTAAACAGAATATTTCCTCCCAAACGAAGACGATAACATTTGGCTTGCTTTTGACCTACCACCTCCAGTGATGGCGAACCTTTTGAGCTCGGCGTGTCAGCATTTTGAAAAACCCTAACTTAACTCTGGTGCCGTGTCACATATAGAAATTTTTTGATATTTGCAACCATAGTAAAACAAAGATTTATATTTTTGATATTTATTTTATATATTTAAATGCCATTTAACAAAGAAAAATCAACCGAAAAAATGAGTTCGCGTGTCACCTCTGACACGCGTGTCATAGGTTCGCCATCACTGAGTCCTAGGAAGACAATACTTTCCTATAGAGCGCCTTGAGGCCACCCTGATCTGCTTCTCCCACACCTTGCCGCAGGCCACAGAAGCAAGCTTCTAAAAGACCTGTGCAATAGCTGCTCATCTCCACCTCCCGCCTTTCCAGCACCTATCTCCGGAGTCCACAGCGTTTCCATTCTTTTGGTCTCCATGGATTTTATCCACGGCTCCGTCAGGAGCAGGGTCTGCGCACGTGGTTCTCACAGCGAGCTGATCCAGCAGCCGCTGGCTTTGTGAAGCAGCCTCGAGCTGCGACTCTACGTACACATTTAAAATACGAAACAGATTTGTAAAGGCTCACGGTGAGGCTGCTGACTTATTGCTAACAAAGGACTTCAGAGGGCACTGTCTTTCTTTGTTTGCAAGGAGCGAAATTTCTCAGCGCGAATACCAGGAGAAACCGCGGGGAAAGAAAAGTGGGGTTAGAATCAAGAACCGACAGTTTGGGTTTCAGCAGCTTCTGGGCTCTGGGCGAGCCGGGCGGTGCCGCCGTAGCCTGTAGGGCTCATTTCTGCGCCTCGCATCGGAAAGGAAGCTGGGAGGTGGGGGTGTGGGAGCCTGAGCTGCAGGGCTGGGCCCCCGCCGAGTGGCTGTGCTGTCTCGGGTTGGACGATTTCCATTTACCTGGGCCTCCGCTTCCTAACCTGTAAAACAAGGGGGCTGGACTGGTCACCTCTACCATTCACTTAGAGATTTAATTCCAAATCCTAATTTTTTAAAGGGATTTTTTAAGCTCCCAGTGGAAAGACAAGCCTTCTTTTCTCCTGGCCCGCGGCGCTTCAGACACGTGTGTGCCGGGTCACTTGTTTGCTGAACTCCAAACTAACATAACTGAGCCATAGGAGACAGGAAGGGTCCAGCCCGAGAGGGCGATGCCGGCTTCCTCGCTAGTGAGAGGGGGCGGCGCCGCGGCTCCTTTGAGCCGTTCGCTTTGAATCAAGCGGCCTCGGCGATTGGCTGCGAAGCGCGTGGGCACGCCCCCCGGACCGCGCCGGGCCCCGGGCCGCGTGGGGCAGAGTCCGCCTGTGGCTGCCCCACGGGTCAGGGGTAGAGCCGGGGGAGGGGGGGGGGGGGAGCCGGGGAAACGCCTGGGGCACGGGTCTGTCTGGCCCTGCCGCCAGCGAGAAACTCTACCGCCGGCTTTGCCCACCTACAGGGTCTCCGGAGAGTCCAAACTTGTGCCCCTTCTCACGCCACTGCCCTCCCTCCGGGTGTCCCCTCCGGCGCGCGGGCTGTGCGCGCCCAGGGCGCGTGCCGCGGGCCCCCGCTCGCTCCTCGCCACCCTTTCTAGAGCATCTCGGGGGCTCCAGCAGCGCGGAACGCACAGCCCGGGGCTGCGCTCCCCTGCGAGGGTCTCTCCATTCACCCGGCTGGGCCGAGGTGGCTCAGACACTCCGACCCGGGAAAACTTTTCACTCGCGGGCCCCGAGGGCTGCAGCTGCTCGCTAATGGCTGAGATACGGCGTCCGCTTTGTCTCCACTCTCCGCAGTGCCCCACCCCCGCTTCCTTTCTCGATTAACTCCCCCGACACGCTCTTCTCCAGCTCTCTCCTCCACCTCCTCCACCTCCTCCTCCTCCTCCTCCTCCTCTTCCACCTCCGAAGGCTGCCTCCCAGCGCTTCCTCCCTCCCTCTCCTGGTGTCACTCACAGCACACCCACCCTCGCCCCTCCCCGCCCCTCCGCGCCGCCCCACTTATAGCCGGCGCACCGCGGCCGGCGCACACTGCTCGGGCAGCCGGGGAGGCGGGCGGCCGTGCGGTGCGGAGACCAGTCCAGACGCCAGGCGGCTGCCGGCGCGCTCGGCGCTCTCTAGCTCCCTCCCCCCGCGCACAGCCCGCCTCCTTCCGCGGCGCCTGCAGCCGCGGGCTTGCTCTCCCCTCCCGGGACTCGCTCGGGAGACGCTCCGCGGGTCGCGGACACAGAGTCCGCGGCGTGGGGATCGCGAGGCCGAGGCGAACCGCCAGCGGTCGCCGGCCCGAGCCAGCGCCCCGGGCGCGTTCCCCTCCACGGCCGGCGCCCGGTACGCAGACCTTTCGCCCGGGCAGTCGCTCCCGCTCCCCGGGGCTGAGACGTCCGCTTCGTCGCCTCCCCGTCCGGTGGCCGAGGCCAGAACCCAGCTAGTTGTTCCCTGAGGCCGGTCGCCACTGCTGTAAGTTTCCCCCACTGCCCCGGACCTGTTGCGGGCTCCGCGGGTTTCAGGACGCGCTTGGCCCGTGGGGGTGTGTTCGCGAGGGGTGTGCGTACTCCCCGAGTTCGGAGCTCCGACTCAGGCGGAGATGGGGCGCTCTTGTTGGGGTGGAGACCTCCGTGTTTTCCGATGCCCTCCCACAACAAGCAGAAGCCAGGCACCGCCGGAAGGGCCTGCTCTTGGCGGCACAGCGCCCGGGAGAGCCGGTGGGGGATCAAGGAGCGCGGCCTGGGAATGATAACTCCCCCCGCCCCCCGCCCCCCGCCTTCGGAAGCGGTGCTTCCCTGGGGGTGGATTTCCCGCTGCCTCGCACTTCACAGTCTCCAGGGCCGAGCGTGCGGAATTGTTGGCCCACGTTGCGCCCTCCCCGGCAGAGGGAACATTGGGGCCACGCGCAGACATGAAGTGAGGACACGTTCACTTTCGCGAAATGTCTAGGAAATGAATGAAAACTGGATTTTTTTTTCCTGAAAAATTAATTTCTTCTCATGCAAGTACAGTATTTGGCCATTAGTGTACCATTATTAGTTCCAAAGGACAGGAGTTGGTGGGCGGGGTGGAGGTGAACCATTGAACTTGTTCCGCTTGTAGTTTGCTGTCGCTCTGAAACCCGGCCAGCCTGTGAAAAAGAGCATTGCGAGTGTTTTAGGGGACTGCATGGTGAGATGCTTTTCTTGTTAACAAGATCTTTTCATAATGTTGTTTCCAATAACGTAAATGCCCCCAAAATCTGCTTAGTTTCCCCTTTGATTGCGTTGAGATCAGGTTCAAAACCAAAAGAGATGTGCTGGCGGGGTTGGCGGCGGAGGACGGACACAGAATTGGAGGCAGAGAACACGGGTCAGGAGCTTTAAGTGAACTGAAGTTCCTGCACCTAGAAGCCCTTTTGATGTTCAGGGTAATGGCAGCCCTTTTCTCATCGTCTTTGTAGGTGCAGGTTAAATATATGTGTGCATTTTTTGGACACTTAGTTGGCATGCAAATATTTCTCTGGGGGCTTAGAAAATGCCGGAAGGATGATTCATTTTATGTTGAAGGTGTGCTTAGTGACTATATAAATGATTCCTGATGATATTTGGGTCTTTGCTAATTTTAAACCAGAAAGCAACTTTCCCCGTGGGTCTTCAGGTATACTTTTTATTTTAATCAAATATTGCTGCAAGGATATTAGGTTTTGATTGTGACATGCTTCTCCATCTGGATGTTATCTTCCTCTGGCTTTATGGGCCAACCTGTACAATGCAGGTGCATCAGCACGGGATGCATAAAGATGCAGATCCTAAGGTCTTCTTCAGTTTTCTTAAGTGTGGGCCTGGTTGTGAGTCGTGTTCGACATGATCAGGTATTTAATGCTCAGGGAAACGTGTTCTGGGCTCCTGGGATTCCTGCCCCATGTGCTTCTGGTGTTTATGCACCTTGTGTATAGGTCCCTCATTCTCTGCATTTGCTCTTAGCCTGAATGGAGACAGCTTTTGAGGTTGCTTTGGAAGCACTTGCTTAAAAACACCAAAGCTATAGCTACTCATTTGGAATTTTTGTAAGTTTTTATAGCATCTTTTGATCTTAAAATCTTCCTCAACGTGCTTCAGATGGAATGTGCTAATTCAAATGACAAGCTGCAGTGGTAGAGCTTCAGTGATACTAATTCGTAGATGTTTTAACTCTTTGGAAACCTGGTGCATTCACATAGGATCATACCGGTTGTTCTCTGCAGCATTGAACACTGGTGAGAAAAAGGACTAGACTTGTAGAGGCTTGGCTTGAGGTGGGGGTGAAACTTGGCTCCTTACCATTTGTTATATCTAGGAGACTAATAGGAGACTAATGGGTGTTTGTAAAGTCTTTGTAACACCAGAGCCCGGGACTTGGTTGCTGCTTTTCTCCCACCGAGCCCGTGTTTCTCATAATGAAAAGTTACATGCTGCAAATAAAGGAAAACAAGTTGCATCACCTCGTGGTATGTGGCCTGTGTGTTAAGGGCAAGTTAGGCACCTGCTTTTGTTTTCTGTGACACAGCTGGTCAGGGAAGTGGCAGCTTAGTGTCTGGGTAAGTTACTCATTTGCATTTATTCATAATTCCTGGGATATAAATTAAACATAAATATCTGCATGGTTGAAGGAAATAAGCAGGCCGTGGGTTTCAGCTGTGCTATAAGGACTGGCTGTTCTGAGCTTGGAATAGATACTGTAACCACCCAGTTTACTCTCCTGGAATAAACAGCTTCCTTAGGAATCCTTTGACAGGCAGGTGCTTAAAGCCTTTATTCCTTTGAAGTGAAAGAGAGGTACAGTGGTGTGTGTGTGTGTGTGTGTGTGTGTGTGTGTGTGTGTGTTTTAAGCATGTGGTTCAATTTTTGAAGATTGGTGATAGGGATTTCCTATATCTTTAGCCTGCAATTTACTTACTGCGGTAAGCCAAAGATAGCATTAGATTCTGCTATCTTTTCAATTTAGATACTGAGGAAAAGAGCACTTTAGTCAGCAAATAAATTCTAGGGTGGCCCAAATTAACAATGGTTGGCAAAATACACGTGCATAGTCCATACACGCACACGTGTGTGTGTGTGTGTATGTGTGTATTTTTGATTTAGATAAGGCAATGTTTGCATCTCGAAATCCCTATTTGCAGATGCCGCATTAGCAGATACATAAGAATGGTCCTGGTGATGCACTACCAAATCAAAAAACAAAAACAAACAAACAGAAAAGGAGAGGGGCAGATAGTTCCTTTGTTCTTGCAACTGGTTTTCCAAGAATTGATACAAAGCAGGAAGAACAGAAAAACAGCACTCATGAGTATGCTAAAAAATATTCTTCATTTTATACCCTCATTTTGGAAGCTGTCCAGAGCAAGAAAGATGGGTGGTGATTGTGGTCGGAATCTATGCTGTGTTTTCACTAAAGCCTGCTGATCAATATATGGTAATGTGTCTACTAGGCCACCTTTAGCATTCTGTCTTGGTAAAGCTGTCTGGTTGGAAATGATCTGTAACTTTAAATAGGGATCCTATCATTGGGGAAGTTGCCTAAGCCTGTGACTTTAATGTTACTACATTTCCTACTTATTGTATATTGCAGGGAGACCGGATCTTACCAAAGGAATTCTTAATGGAATTAATTAGCAGGTATTTGTTTTACACATGGCTTTATGTTGCATAGGGCATTATAGCTGGTGCCTCTCCTGGCATTACGAGAGCTGGAGGCCTGGCATTTGAAGCGGCCCGCAGTGAATCAGCTGGACAGGGACAGGGAGCTGGGAGAATGAGACCTTGCTCCTCCTGGCTTATGCTGACACACAGTTCTCAAGGACTTCAATATCCTGAAAGTTGGCAGTCAGGTTTTCCAAGATGAACCTGCTTTCAAGCAGTGATTTTTTTTTTTAAACAGTGTATAGTTCAAATAGCTCAACAGTATGGCCGTGAATGCCTCTCCTTATAGGTAGTTGTCTCTGACTTGGTACAGGAATGGCCATCCATGATTCAGAACAGGAGGCAGCAGAGCTAACAGCAAAACAGTTCTGTTTTCTTTGTCCAAAAGGATCGCTACTTTGTTCTGCTGTTTTACACGTGGGGAGCACCCCTCAGTGGTTTTGTTTTGTTTTCCAGGAGTGGAAACAAAATGTCAGTCAGTGTGCATGAGAACCGCAAGTCCAGGGCCAGCAGCGGCTCCATCAACATCTACCTGTTCCACAAGTCTTCCTACGCCGACAGCGTCCTCACTCACCTGAACCTTCTTCGGCAGCAGCGCCTCTTCACCGATGTCCTTCTCCATGCGGGAAATAGGACCTTCCCCTGTCACCGGGCCGTGCTGGCTGCCTGCAGCCGCTACTTTGAAGCCATGTTCAGTGGCGGCCTGAAGGAGAGCCAGGACAGTGAAGTCAACTTCGACAACTCCATCCACCCAGAAGTCTTGGAGCTGCTTCTCGACTATGCGTACTCCTCCCGGGTCATCATCAATGAAGAAAACGCAGAGTCGCTCCTGGAAGCTGGCGACATGCTGGAGTTTCAAGACATCCGGGATGCCTGTGCCGAGTTCCTGGAAAAGAACCTGCATCCCACCAACTGCCTGGGCATGCTGCTGCTGTCCGACGCGCACCAGTGCACCAAGCTCTACGAGCTCTCCTGGAGAATGTGTCTCAGCAATTTCCAAACCATCCGGAAGAATGAAGACTTCCTCCAGCTGCCCCAGGACATGGTAGTGCAGCTCTTGTCCAGCGAAGAGCTGGAGACGGAAGATGAAAGGCTCGTGTACGAGTCTGCAATCAACTGGATCAGCTACGACCTGAAGAAGCGCTACTGCTACCTCCCGGAGCTGCTGCAGACGGTGAGGCTGGCTCTCCTGCCAGCCATCTATCTCATGGAGAACGTGGCCATGGAGGAACTCATCACCAAGCAGAGGAAGAGCAAGGAGATTGTGGAGGAGGCCATCAGGTGCAAGCTGAAGATCCTGCAGAACGACGGCGTGGTGACCAGCCTCTGTGCCCGGCCTCGGAAGACCGGCCATGCCCTCTTCCTCTTGGGAGGGCAGACTTTCATGTGTGACAAGCTGTACCTAGTAGACCAGAAGGCCAAAGAGATCATCCCTAAGGCCGACATCCCCAGCCCAAGAAAAGAGTTCAGTGCGTGCGCCATTGGCTGCAAAGTGTACATTACTGGGGGTCGGGGGTCTGAAAACGGAGTCTCGAAAGATGTCTGGGTTTATGACACCCTGCACGAGGAGTGGTCCAAAGCCGCCCCCATGCTGGTAGCCAGGTTTGGCCATGGCTCTGCTGAACTGAAGCACTGCTTATATGTGGTCGGGGGGCACACAGCCGCAACCGGCTGCCTCCCAGCCTCCCCCTCAGTCTCTCTGAAGCAAGTGGAACATTACGACCCCACGACCAACAAATGGACCATGGTGGCCCCACTCCGAGAAGGCGTCAGCAATGCAGCAGTAGTGAGCGCTAAGCTCAAGCTGTTTGCTTTCGGAGGTACCAGCGTCAGTCATGACAAGCTCCCCAAGGTCCAGTGTTATGATCAATGTGAAAACAGGTGGACGGTGCCGGCCACCTGTCCCCAGCCCTGGCGTTACACGGCAGCAGCTGTGCTGGGTAACCAGATTTTTATTATGGGGGGAGATACAGAGTTCTCCGCCTGCTCTGCTTATAAATTCAACAGTGAGACTTACCAGTGGACCAAGGTGGGAGACGTGACAGCAAAGCGCATGAGCTGTCACGCTGTGGCCTCCGGAAACAAACTCTACGTGGTGGGAGGATACTTTGGCATTCAGCGATGCAAAACTTTGGACTGCTACGATCCAACGTTGGATGTGTGGAACAGCATAACCACAGTCCCATACTCCCTGATACCGACCGCGTTTGTCAGCACCTGGAAGCACCTGCCTTCTTAAGCGCAGTACATCTTACAGAAAGTGAGCACGAGGTAAGCCAGTTAAGTTGTAAGTATGCGTATAATTAAGCGAGCTGGCAAGTTTGCATGTGGAGTGAAGCATGGTCCATATAGCCTATCCTATAGAAGTACTCCAAAAACTATAAAAATAGAAGAACTTGTATCCTACAACTTAAACACTTGTATTGGCCACAGCTGCACCCAGCTTCCTACTCTAACATACGTAAGCCAGTGGTTCTCAGCCTTTACTGCGCCTCAGCATCTCCCAAAGAGCTTTGCAAAAGCTGCCCAGCCTAGAGACTTGGTTTCATGTGATCTGAGTGGAGCCCAGGGATCAGCATTTTAGAAAGTTTCCAGTGATTCCAATGTGCACCAGTTTGAGAAACCCTGACCTATGCTTATGATGCCAACTAGTATCTAGGGAGCCCTCGCTGTGTGTCTGGAGCTGGGCTGTGTTCACATGGATCGTTTCATTTAATCCTCAAAGCAACCTTGTGAGATATTACTAGAGCCCTTCATAGATGAAAACACCTCATGCACAGAGGTTAAGTCATTAGAGTCCAAGGTCATAGAGTTTAGTAGGCGCAAGACTTGGTCCAGAAACGCACCCAGGCAGCCTGACTCCAGAGTGTATGTACGCGAGCATCATGCTGATCTGCCACTTCATAAACTTGACTCCATATCGGTGTCACCCCAGGAGATACTTGTTGATGTAAGTTTTACTTCCTCAAACCCTTTCTGGAATGAAATATGGTTTAAGAAAAATGCAATGTTTAAATTTATTCTTAGTTCCAAAAGTATTTATTAGGTTATTTAATTTTTTCTCAAATTTGTTAACTCTGGAGGGAAATTTAGGTCTGCCCTTGTAAAAGGCTGCACCTGCATTGTATGCGCTGGTCTGATGTGTGGACACTCTGAGCCATCTAAACTGCTCTTGCAGCAGCCTTTCAGAGTTAATCAGACAGGCTGACCCTATTGTCAGCGCCAACAAAAGTTGTGTTTCTGTGTCATATATCTGAGTACATAATGGTTGTCTTGTGTACTTAAGAGTATATAATACTCTTGGCTCAAATAATTAATAGGCCTACACAGTTCAGTGTTCGCAAGCTAATGGCCGTGTTGCTGCTGTTAGGCAGCCTTAGGATCAGCCCCAGGAATGACTTTGGCAGGTCTACGGGCAGCACAGAGCACACACTGTGTTGATTTGTTTTGGTGATTCATGGGCTCATTCATTACAATTACTAATAATAGAATAAAATTAAAACTCTGCTTCGGCGGGACTACAACAGAAAACTAACTCCTTACTTGGAAACTTTTGGCTCTGTTTTCTCTAGCAGGTTTCACACCTTTGAAGGGAACTTTCAAAAGGAAAAAAGAAGAAGCTAGGGGTCGTGGCAAGCTAAGCAAAGTGGGGTTTTGACTCATTTGTCTTTCCTTTCCTCATCTCTCACCGCTCATTTAAAAACACTGTGAAAACTGGCCTCGCTTTCACACTTAATCTTTCTATTTATTTCATTTCTGCAGTTATCTCCTCCAGCCTATTCCAGTTAGTAGAGTTCTTAGCAATGTAATGTTTCCTCGGAATGAAACTCCTTCAGAGGCGCAGAGACGGTCAGGAGCCTCTCTGGGGAGCGACTTGGCTAACAGCGTCCCACACCAAACTGGTTTTTGCAGCCGTGCTGGCATCTCAGTAATCCTGAATAAACAAATGCTCTGAAAGTGGTTATTTCATTTGTGATACGAATGCATGACTCACCTCTAAAGCTGGTTTTAAAGAACCTCCGAGGGTAAAGCATCAATTAACAGCGCACTAAGTTGGGTGTTAGTCCAGAACCGATTCTGTTTGCACAGGGGAGCCATAAAAATTGCCAGCGGTGGCGGTACTTAAAAATGGTAACTGGTGGAATGGTTGGCACCCTTGGAGCAAGGTAAGGAAGCTGAGGCAGAAAGAGATCACAGGTGCATTCTGGTTCTGGTTCTGCGCTGGAGTCTGGACCTTACTGGATTGGGCTCCTTTGTCAAATGAGTGGTTTGCATTATACTTCCCCTAAGATCTGTTCCCAGTTCAGGCTTGGGTAAATTGCTAAACAGGGTGGGGGACCCGAAAATACCTAGCCCAGTGCCTGGCATATATTCAGTGTCCAAGTCAATAGTCTTAGGTTTCTTTCCTCCCATCCATTTAGACCTCAGCTGGCAATGGAATTAGCTTGGTGTGTGGTGGGAAGATGAGGTGTCTTTGACTATTATATTCTTGTTCTCTTTAGACTTCATTTTTGGTGCCTTGTTTTTCTCAGCCCAGAGTATGCAGACGCTTGAATTCTTCCTGTCCCGAACATTCGAACCCTGTCACACACTTCTGGTCCCAGAGAAACGGAGCAAATAGAGTGTTAGGTTCTAGGCGAAATAATATCTTCTTCACCCTTGGTGCTACCAGCCAGAGTCCAGCATATAACAACGAAATGTGACAGGGCCAGGGGGTCGCCTTTGGGCCTGATCAGAGCCACCCTTGCAGTTTCCCACAGGGAGGGCGTTGGTTTAAATTGCTAAAGGTTACTGCAGGCAGGCAGTGTTAAACCACTTAGGGTACACGGAGTGAGAAGAGGTGCTGTGTAGGTACCAGTCCTAAGCCGCAAAAACTTCCGGACATTTCTTTGCTCTCCAAATGGGGGTGTTAAAGGAATTAATACAGTGTTAACAGAAAGTTTGCCCTGGTCTAAAAGCTCATCCATCAAGGAGATTTTAACTGACTCCTGCTGCTCTGACAGCGGGTGGGATGGACAAAGAGGAAATTACTTTTGATTAGTCTGCATTTTCATGGTGCTGTGTGGCCCCAACCTGAGAGCATTTAGATTTTGCTTTGTTTTGTTTCTTCCCTTTTTAGAGTTTTCCTTTTCTTTTGTTATTTCCTCCCCCACCCTAAGTCCCCCCCCCCCCCCCCGTAGGCAACATCTTGAAATTTTATATTATTTCAAGATACATTCTTTTGGCCTGATGTTGATATATAGATTATAAGGAGGTGGGGGTAGGGGCATGACACCGTAGTCTAAAGAATGCCTTGAAAGCTTGAATCACTGTTATGAAACTGCCTAAAGAAACAGCTAAAGAGATGAATCAGAGCCCTAAACACACAAAAGCAAGAAGAATTTAATGCAAGTAATGAGTGGCCCCTCCTGAGTTCCCTTTGTCAATAGAGTGATAGCAGTCGGGATGCAGATTCATGCCAGGGCTGGAAATGGGCTTCATGAGGGTGAGCCTGTGAAAGACGCACCACCTGTAAAATTCCCCTGTATCAAATTAGACATGAACGAATGGGGAGGGTGGGTGGTGCGAGGAAACGCCAGCTCCCATGAAAGTGCAGGCTTCCTGGTTGTGGCACCTTGATTGTATTCACACTTGACGTTGGTAGATTCCATAGGTAATAACACTGCATACCAGAGCTGGTGCCTCCCAAGTGTGGACTGATGCATTTTGAGAATAAACGCCAGCCTTGGGCTATTGAAGCCAGGGATGTTGTCATACGAAAAGAAGCGAGACTGATTTCTGCCATAATGAATAGCAGAGATGCATTTAAATGAGAGGATTAATACGTCTGCCGTCTATATGGTGAATAAATTGAATTTGGAATTCTTTACGGTAAATGGGCAAAGGAGGGTTTGCACAGGAATCTTGACCCTCTGGCGATTGCTGCACGGTGGCTCTCTTTTGCCATGGAGAGGAATTGCAGGTGTTGGAAGCAGAAGATGGCAACGGATAGCAGCACCTGGACGTATAGGTTTGAATTTGAACATACATGTTTAGGACAGAAGTAGGGGCCCTTCTTTGACACCATTGTGTCTGTTGGGCCAGTCATCTGCATGCATGCATGCATGTGTGTGTGCATTTATGACAAGCACCTCACATATCTTTGCACAGTTCCTACTGAACATGTAATTAAGACCTTTAGAAGCAATATTGGCCAGCTCTGTCCTGAGTTTTAATTTAATTAATTTTTTTTTTTTTTTTAGATTTTGAGGTTACTAACAAAAATCTTTTCCCTCTGTTTTAGCTCAAGAAATGATTTCTGTTTTGGAGAGGCCAAATTTAATGAAGAGAAAGAAAAAGAAAACAAAAAGGAAAAGAAGTTGCTACAAGACCTGGATTGTATGATTGGCTGCACCTTGTAAATGCTCTAACTGGACATGAAGGAAGGGGCTGGGGGAGGGGTGGGATTTTCAGTGCAAGTAGCACATGGTTTAACTATGAATGAATGAACCTGTGATCTAGTCCTTGTCTTGTAATTGTGGATTAATGTCAGCATTAATCAACCCCTCAAAGGGAGAGAAAAGCCGGGCCCTTTCCCGTGCTGTACCATATTCAGCATTTGATTTCCATGGGCTCCACCATTTATGTGTAAAATTTGAAATGGTTGTCACCTCTCTCTGAGAAGCAAGCTTGAAGCCTCCTCGCCAGCTGCTGTTGGAGATTGAAAGCCAGCTGTAGGGCCGGGAGGGAAGCTGGCGCTGGCTGCAGAGAGGAGCCCTGGGCTCCGCCAGTCTCCCAGGGGTTGTGCTCCCCGGGAAGGTTCCGAACAATGGGGGCGTTGTTGGTAGCTGTTGGTAGACGATCTCTTCTATTTATAAGTGACTTTAAACCTTCCCCAGGCTGGTAAGGAGTGTGTTCTAGATTTAGCTATTTATTGTGTGATGCCTGCATGCTGAAACAGTGCTTACAGTTGTGTTCACGTGTATGGACGTGTGTGATGGTTGTATGTTTTGCACAATTTTCGTGGCTGTTGTGATGTGCTCTGCTGCACAAAAAGGAAAACTTTGGAGTTACAGTTTGCAATATAACTGGAGGGTGGGATGGGAAGGGGAGGGGTTTTGTAGATATCAAGACAGGGAAGGATTACAAAACAGAAACTTAAATTACACCCCAGAGGTAGGGAAGGCATGGAGGTCACATTTCTTAGACTCGCCAACTTTTCATGGGGTCTCATGGGCTCTGGGCATGCTGATGGCTCCTGGGGCGATGGAAGGCTTCTTTCCATCCCCTCTCTTCCCACCTGCGTCACCTCTTTCAGTCTCGGCTACTGAAATTTGGAAAGGACCAAATCGCTTCGCAGGTTTTTTTTTTTTCTTTTTTTTTCCTTTGTGTAATATCCTGAAATCCTGGAAAATTCTATGGAATAGTTCTGTATATAGGGCACAGGTAAAGACATAGTCCAAAGTTTATATATTTATTTATTTATTACCCTGCGAGAAGGCCTTGCCATAACCACAGTTAACGGGGGAAACACTGCATTGTCACCGACGTAAGTTAATTCAGTCCCCCGATTTGCTGGACCTGGATTCGTTGTTATTCTTGCTGAACAATTCAGCAAGGGTGACAAGTTCTCCAAGACAAATGTGAACATTGGTACAATGTATGCCCTAGTGCTCACCTGCAGGTAAGTCTCTGAAAGAACTCTGGTGCGCAAAAGTGACACATTTGGTCACAAAACACCACACGATTGTGAGCAGTAGCCGCTGGTGAGGTTTTCCGGGATAGTTGGGAATTGGTTGTGAATACATTCTTTGCTAGTTTGTGGGCTTGTTTACTAAACTAAACATGTGCTGTGATAGGTGTTAGTATTAGACTCCAAGAGGCACTTCCTCAGGTGTCTGGGGAAGGCCGGAGCTTGTAACTCTGGCACTGCTTTCACTGATGTATCTCACGTTACTGTACTTTAGAAAATAAGGTTTAAGACTGATAACAACCCTTTACATTGTGTGTTTGCATTGTCTAATGACAGATAAATCCTTAACATTTCTCTGCACCTGAAAACTTTAGACTAATTGTACATGTCCGTCCATGCCATGAGTACGTGGGCTATCGTTGGACCAAAATAAATGAGCCGTTGGAATAAAAGCATCACAGTACTTTCCGGCAGGCGGTCTTTCGCTCCTAGATGTGTTGTAAGCAATGCAAATGTCTAATTGTACAATGGCGGCATGCATGTAGCAGTTACAGCTCTGTAGTTTATGATGCAAATAGGCTGAGATGTGTGGCGCTGCATGGCTTCTGAAAGCAGGATGAATTTTCTACAGCTGTTTCAGAGTTGTGGTCTGTCCTTGAATCCTCTATTAATTACTGTGTGTGAGCCAGAGGGAGCCGTGGTCGGGGTGGGCCCCCAGCCCGCAGGGAACTTTCTGGACTCCTGCTCTTTGGATTGATGTACGCATTGGGCTCACTACTTGACCATTCTCGCCCTGTGAAACGTCCCACACTTTGAAGCAAATACAATTCACAGCACAGTGCACACAAAAACCTTGGCATAAGACAGAGAAGGTTCTTCTCATTCTGTGGACGGGTTGCTGTGGAAACAGATAACAAAGGGCAGCCTTCCACTTCTGGTATAATTGTGTAGCCCCCTTTTCTCTGGGCCTGACACCTGTCTGAATAAGAGTGATTAGAGCTGAATAATATCCCTCTCGCGGCTATTGAGTATGTGGTTCACGTACAAAACTCTGTGTAAGTTGAAGAAGTGAAGTGTTCACGTTCATATGTACTTGTTTCTTGCTACTACATTTTTGAGGTTTTGTAAAACTGTTATTTTTTTTTCACAATGTGAAACCGAAGGTCAAATAAATTATTAGAGATTTTCTCTTCATTGTGTGTGTGTATCGTTATTTGAATATGATATAATTGTAGCCATTGAAAATGTGCACCTTTTCTAGTTTAATCGAAAGAAGGATTATTTCAAATATTTTTGAGTGTCCTTTATTTCACCATCAAGTCACATACTTTTAGTAAAGCAATTTTACACGTTAAATAATGAAACACTTTCGCCATTTAGGATATTTCTTTAAGCAGGGCAAAATATGGGTTATTCATAGCTTAGAATATAAAAAGTCATGTACCATGCAGTATCAAGGCAGCCTACTTTATGTTAGAAGGAATTTAGTTTTTGTCTTCCTCGTGGATTATATTTTGACTGGAGTTCAATCCTCTTCATCTGACCTTGCCTTAGAAATCATTTAAAGTAAGTGGAAATGTGGACATATTATTTCCCCATAACAGCACAGAACCACCAGTTTAACCCCGTTGGTACACTTAGCTTCCTCCAAGTTGAAAGCCGCCATCCCAGTTGGCTCAGCCTAAAGCTGATGAAGCCTCAGCCCCCACCTTGTGATCACTGTGTCACAGTGAGATGCTCCTTTATCACTTGGGTCAGATCCCTGGCTGTTCTAACATGCAGAGTAATGCTGGGCATAATCTTTTTTGGGTAGAAAAGAAACTACCTAATTAGAACTTGGGGAGAGCTCACAAGTAGGCTAAGTGCAAGTAAGGCCTTTGAACTTTGACCAAGATGCCAGACAGACAGATGCCTCAGATTTTACGGAAGCATTGCTGAGTTCCGTGTTGGGTAAGGCTGGCCTGGAGCCAAGCTTTGGGAACACGTGTCCTCAGACCACAAGTGCATAATGCTGAGGACCCATGGGAACCCTGTTGGTGACACCATGTATGACACCGTGTGACGGGGAAGAAGGGAGAGTGCAAATGGGAATCGGACCCTCAGATGTTCAGGAAAAGCTTTGATGTTATTTCTCAGAAGGACTGAGAACGATTCATGTAGAGACCATTGGGAACCAACCTTTCATTCTCTGGAGTTCTTTGTCATCTCCATTGAAACGTGTACACAGGTTGAAGGAAAGAAGATACTTCAAATTCTTAATTTCCATTCATTTGGAAATTTTATTTAATTCAGACAGATCACCCAAACAGTGCCTGTATTAGTTTGGATTGCCTTCAGCTGCACGTAGTAGAAAGCTGGCCATGGTGGCTTAAGCACAGTGGGGAAACCGTTTGGAGGCTGGTGATCCAGGGCTGGGGCAGGACCCCGAGTGGGCCATTTGGGGCTTGGGATCTTCTTTCCACTTTGCCCTCCTGGACATGGGCCTTTGGTCTTCATTGCCTGCAGGATGGCAGCTCTACTTGGTGGTGTCCTTATACTTTCCAGGCAGCGAGGATGGAGACAGAAGGGAAAAGGCATGTGCCAGATGAAGTCCATTTTTGGGGGGACAATAATAGTTTTCCCAAAAGGCCCACTTAGGAGACTTCCCATTATCTCTCATTGGCCAGAACTAGGCCACATGAACTTCCAAAGAAATAAGGGAGACTGAGGAAAATGGGGCCCATTGCCAACTCACACGAAACTGATTTTGTAAGGATGAAAGGGAGAACAGATGTTGGATGGGCAACTGCTGCATGGGGTCTGTGATGGTGGATAACCAAAGGGCCATTTTCAATAATAGCCCTGTTGACAGAGTGAGTACGGAGTGCTCTGGACTATACTAAGGACATGCTTTACAATCCCATTTAATTCTCACAACCAATGGAGGTGAGGATAGAGAAGTTTCTTAGCATCTCTGAGCCTCAGCTTCTGTAAAATAAGGATGATTAATATTCTCTAATAGAAAGATTTAATAATATCATAAATTTAAGAGAAAGCACCAAACTCAGTGCCTGGCACATCATGGGCTTTCAATAATTTTCAGCTGTCATTTTTAAACATGGGGAGAAATACCCCCAATATAGCTAAATCTGAGTGTTTATTCTGTGAGAGGGATTGTGTTAAAAGTTTGTATGCCCATTGCCTTACTTCATCCTCACGGCAACCCTCGGAGAGCTGGCATGAGTCTTAGCCCCATTTTGTAGATGAAGGAACAGATTTTGGGAGATTATTGTTGCCCAAAGAGAGTGGTGGAACTGGATTTCCAGGCATGCCCTCTGACTTGCCCCTCTCGGTCCAGGAATGTGGAGGAAGGTGATTCACGGGGCAGGGGCTGACTGTGGGAACTGGGCTGCCGTCCGCTGTGTCTGGGAAGACTGGACGTCATTGAGACGGTCCAAGGAGGCCTGCAGCTGGTGAGCCCCACCCGGACACCAGGATTAAAGAAGCACATGGGAAGAGTCCATTCAGCAACTCAAAATGCTCCCTGACCACGGGTTTCTGAAGAAAAGAATGTGCAGAATTTAAAAATGAATGCGGGCCCCTGAGTGGTTGTTACCCTCAATCGTTCATTGAACTGTACACTGATGCTTCGTGTAATTTTTTTGTATGTAGAATGACTATGGGCTAAGAGATTGAATATGCAAATGCACACTGGACAGACCCTAATAAAAATAGAAATCTGACCCACAACATGCAGAAACCAGCCCAGGAAGTCAGCCTGCGATCTACCAGCCAGACGCGCAGAAAGTCGGACCACTGTCTCTAACAACTGGTCCAGCAAGCCACACAATAACCCCCCAAACAATGAGCACGAAACAGCCAGGACTTGATTAATAACTAAATATGCACCCCTGGCCATCATAGGAGCCCCCCTTAGCCCACCTCCAATCAGGGCACACCTGGAGCTTGCCCCTTCTTCCCCCCACCATAAAGCTTCCCCATCCCTCTGCTTGACACTGAGTCTCTGGCCAAAACACAAGTGACATTGGCTGACTCTTACTATTGCCTTTGCCCGTTCTCATTCGTTTGGTCTTTACTTCCACAAATGTTTGTTGAATAAAATAATTATTTTAAATTATTTTAATTAAAATGAAACGGGGACCAACATTGTGGGCTCTGGGTAAGCTGGGTTTTCAGAGGATACTGTTTTCATGTCAAATGTCAGAGTAAATGAAATATACACAATACATATAGTATGAGAAAAATGGATTTTGAGTTAATGGGGTTGAGATTAGGGCATCTGGTTTGCCAAAAGGAGAGCAGTTGCTTTGTTTGGGAATATTTTGAATAAAGTGAGAACACTTAAATAAGTTTTACAGCCATATTCATGGCGCACATGATTGTATGAATAAATGCAAAAACGTAGCAGTTAATTCCTGGTCTTGCTTGTCACAAATCTTAGGTGCTTTGCCTGTCTGACACATACTCAGACAAGCCATCTGTCCTGCATTTGAGTTTAATCATAGACAATGAATGCTAAAGCTCTGTTATTTGTCAGATATTGGACAACTATGCGCAGGACCTAACTTTCAGAGAAAAAAAACATGTACAAGGAGGCCTGACTATGAATTAAAAGCAATTTGACTAAGTAAATTATAAATCTACCATAATCTCATGCAGCTCTGCTTACAGCCGGTCTTGCTTTGTGAGTCTGGGGGAAACCAAACGAGACAAAGTTTCTGCCTTTCTCTCTCGTCTGTTTCCTTGGCAACCATAATCTTTATCTGCACAAAGATGCGGGACTGCATCGCGGAAAGGCAGTTGGAATTTCAGCAAAGTCTCTAATCCTTCTTGTGTTATCAGATGATTTGTTTTGTTATGGGAAGTTATTTTGCACCCACTTTTTAGACGGTGCTGGGAGTGTGTATCAGACACCCTAGCAAGGCTGAGAGGATCTTTCCCCCACAAGATACGCTGACATTGTAACCACAAGGCAGATGAAATCAGCCTCTTGGTAGTCATACACTAGGCACCTGCAAAGTGAGAACTAAAATGTCTCTCTCTGAGGGTCCAACATGTACATCACCTCTAAGTGGCAAACAGCCCTGTTCCACTCAGCCACCCACATACATTCTAGCCAAGGCATTGCTGCGAGGAGGAGGACCATTCTGAGAGAACAAATCTTGGAATTTTGAAATCCTTTGCATACTCGGAAGGGAAGGAAGGAAGGAAGGCCGGCCGAAGATACCCTCAGGGAGATGTGTCTGGTATTTTGGGGGGCTCACCTCACATCCGTTCCTGGGACTTCCTGAGAGTGCACCTGTGCAAGGGTTGCTGGGGGTTCAACCACCTCTTTTTCAAAATGGAAATACCTGAGCCCCATTGGGGGGCTGTTGGTCATGCACACATCCACATCATCGGGCCACTCTGAAGGGTGGGTGGGGCTGGGAATGCTGATAAGCTTCATCAGGGACCCTGGGGGAACCTGAGGCACACTGAGGGACGCTGAGGCACACTCAGGGGAACCCCAGGGGTTAGAGGGCCTGTGGGTGGGTCGTAGCAAGTGGAAGAAGAACGAGAAAGGCAAAATTTTACTTCAAAATATTATGGTTGAGGAGGGAATGATGAATATGTAGAGAACAGAAGACTTTTAGGGCATGAAACTGTTCTCTGTGTCCCTGTAACGGAAGGTACATGTCATACATTTGTAATCCCATACATTTGTGAACCCTCATGTAAACTAGGGACTTCGGGTGATAGTGATGTGTCAATTCACCACTGTGCAGGGTGTTGGCAGATGGGGAGGCTGTGTGTGTGTGTGTGTGTGTGTGGCAGGGGGTGGGTGGGGGATGAGGGGAAACTGTACTTTGTTCTCATTTTTGCTGTGACTTAAAACTGCTCCTTAAAAATGTCTATTAAATGCCCCAACTCCCAATTACATTAAAAATAAGTTTCTTTGGGATATCACATACGTTTTTTAAAAATATTTTTTAATTGATTTTTTTTTTTTTTAGAGAGAAAGGAAGAGAGAGAAATATTGATGTGAGAGCAAAACATTGATTGGCTGCCTCCTGCACCCCCTACCCGGGATTGAACCCACAACCAGGGCATATGCCCTGACCAGGAATTTAACCGGAACCTTTCAGTGCATGGGTCAACGCCCAACCAATGGAGCCACACCAGCCAGGGCTCAAATAAATTCTTTAATAAAGCAT